CCCCTTCGACTTGCAGCAGTGTCAGGCACGGTGCAGGGGACCCTGGTCCCCAAATGCCTCCAGGCACTGCAGCATCCCTCCTTCTACTCACAAATGGGGTCTGTCCTAATTTGGGGAGTGGGAGAGGACAGAAGCCCTCCCCGCCCTGCTGCTTAACTTTTAATTTTTGTTTAAAAAGCAAACTTAAAGCAAAAAAAAACAAAAAGGCAAACCCACCCCCAACCTGTCACACCAGAAGCCAACGCCAGGCCCTTGGCTTGGGATTTTAGCCTGGAAGGCTCCATTGTAATAAATGGTATTTTAAAAGCCCAGCGTGGTCCCTGTGTGTTTGGGAGGAAGCAGCTGGACACGGGGCATCCTTGTGCCCTGCTTGGGGTGACACCCGCACCCTCCCCAGCGCTCCCGGGATGGACAGGGACAGCGGGGAAGCCGTGCAGGATCCAGCCCTCCAAAAACCTTGTACAACCAGAGGTGGCTTTACCATCGGACTAACTTTGCATGTCCCACCTGTGTCCTTGTAGGTGCGCAAACACAGCGGGTACCGGCGGGAGAAGGCAGCATGGCCCCCCGGGCTTTGCGGGACTGCAGGGCAGGGGAGCAGGAGGGACCCGAACCTCTGCTCTCCCTCCCCAGCCGGGAAGGGGAAAGCTCCCTCGAGCCCGTCCCTGGCAAAGAGGCTGCTGCTGGAGCAAGCAGGGAGGGATGCTCCCAGTGCTGTCCCCTCCTGCTCCACGTTGCTCCTCTTCCCGGCTGGCCTCGGCACAGCACCTTGGAGTCACTCGTTTCGCGTGCTCATCCTCGGCCACGGGTGCAGGCGCAGCTCCAGCGAGCTTACGCTCGCTGTTCTCACACTCTGCAGCACCAGCGAGCAGGTAGGACAACGAGTTTCTTTCCCTTTTGAATCCGGGCACTCGCTGCTGCTTCCGAGTCCCGTTTGCCTTCCCCAGGCCAGGACCCGAGGCCCCATGTCCCGACACCAAGTCCTGCATGTGCCTGGCTCCGCGGGAGCTCCCTGCCCACGCCTGGGAGACGCGCTGGGACAGGACCCCAGGCGTGACGCCTGCGGGCAGGTCACCGAAAGCTCCTGCTTTTAGCACTTGCCCCAGACCTGCGTTCTCGATAAACCCCATCGCAGGGCGAAGGCTGGCGGGCAGCTCAGGGGGGCTTTTGGGGCGAGCAGAGCCCCTTTCTCACTAAGCACTGCATGGATTTGCAACTCGGCTATCGCAACACGCAGAGCCCTGGCTCGGTGCAGCCCGAGCGGGGAGCACCACGGCCCCCCGCAGCAGCGGTTCCATCACGGGGGTCAGCGGCATTGCTTGGCCCCGGGGTCCCAGCCCCTGCACGCTCGAGGGACTGAGCTTTCAGCCTCCTACTTTTGCGGGCGACTAAAGAGCACAGGACTCACAGCGTAGGCGTAAAGGCAGAGCCCAGGCTGGCTGCTGAGGACTTTCCCTGGCAGAAGCATCGCTGGTGGGGACCGTTCCCGGCAGGATGCCGGCGTGGCAGAGCCACTAACGCCACGGGCTGGGTCCTCAGTGCCACACGGAGCAGCTGCTGAGCATCTGGGGCCAGCTCCTTTGGTGCCCACTGAAACCTAGAACAGATTATCGCCAGCGTTACAGCAGAGGAAGGGTGGGAAAAAAAAATAGATGAGAAAATCAGGAGGCTTTTTTAAAAGTTTATTCTTCCTTCATAGACATGTAAAAACTGGAAATAGCAAACTGGCTGGGCCAGAGCTCTGTATAAAAAAAAACCACACAATCATGCATAGTAAAAAAACAATACTATTTTTATATTAGCTTTTAAGTTAATATATGTACACGTTTACAATTACTAAATAAATACATAAATACAAACTTTCTGCTCGTGTTTTACGGGTGGGATTTTTTTTAAGTGTTGGTGAGGAGCAGGGGAGAAGGGGCGGCAGTGGGAGGGACGGATGCTTTACAGCAAAGGGCAAGCCCTGGCTGCAGAGAGGGGCTGGCGAGGCCCCTCGCACTCTCCCACCGCGCTCGGGAAAGTCCTGGTGTGCTGGGCTGTACCGGGGTGGCAGCACGTGTAGCCAGCTCAAGTAATGCAGTAGTTTTTCCAGCCAAGTTGTCCCTGAGCTATGTGTGAGAGCCAGAGCAAGGGGCAAAGTGTTTGAGGAGCAACCCATCCAGCTGGAGCAGGGATGGTGGGTACCCACAGTCATGCTCAGACTTCAGTGCATTCCCCTTTCCATGCTGGCTGGAGACAGACAGGGACAGCAAAGCCACCCCACGGCCAAGGGAACTGGAACAAACCAACTTGACCAAGGTCATGGAGAAGGAGGTTTCTGGCACACCGATAGTTTGCTTCCCACATTCCCCATCCTGCTCCGATGAGGAGCTCACTCGCTCCCTGCACTGACCCTTTTCTTAGGCAACTCCAGTGATCACAGAGCAAGTAAATCATTCCTCCCCTCGAAGTCCAGTTTCAAACTGATTCCTAACAGCAAGCAGAATCACTATCAGCTAAAAATGCTATTCAGACAACAGCTTTGAGAAAGTAACCCAAGAACCCAGTTAATACTTGCCCACTGAGCATACAGTATTAAGCTTGCTGGCCAGCTTAGAGATGTTCTACAAGCAGAAGCCATTGCATGATACCAGGAACCCCCCCAAAAAGGATGATCCAGTTAAAAACCACAGGGATGCCAACACCCTGCAAAGGCCCGTCTCTGTACTGATCCTGAAGATGTCTGTAGCGTACCAGTGCTTCCAAGCGAGACGGTCCCACAGGCAGCTTGCAGTAGTTTTTTAGGCTCTTTGCATTGACCCAGTGAAATCAAGGCACCAGCTTGGATTTCATAAGGAAGCACCGACACCGAGCCCGTAGCTTCGGCAGAGAAGACCACGAGGTTTGTACTTTGTGAGAGGATCAGCTCCTCTGGGCTCTACTGAACTGTACAATGGCTTCAAAAAGAGAAAAGCCACAGAAGAGCTATAAAAAGATAAAACTCAAGTATTCTTAGAGGTATTCATGGCTTCAGCTTGAAGTGGGGAGATGCAGGGCCTGCCCTGCTCCTCAGTTCACTTCATATTGGAAAAATCCCTGTTGGACCAACTTGGAGGAGATGTCCTCTGCAATCCCTCCAAGATTGATCTGGTACAGGGTCTCCAGCAGTGTATTCACAGAGGCATTCATCCCCTCTCTGTTCAGCCATATGTTGAGCATCTGGAAGAAGGGCTCCAGTGAATACTTGTCGTTCATCTCTGCGAGGGCAATGTCGTTCTCCATCAGATCAAGAGCTCGGCCGTATCTCTTCCAGTCCTTGTAGGGCACATCTTGGGCAAAGGTGTCAAAAGAGCGTCAGAAAAGCTCAGAGAACAGGGTAGAGCACAGAGAGCTGGGTCAGAAAGGATTTTGCCCAGAAAGCTCATCCTGCAGGCTCACCCCACCCCTGCCCCCCAGCATATCCCCCAGGCCCCACCACTTACGCGTAACAGGGTCTTTTCCTTGCACTGGAACCAGATTCCTCCTGGGTTTCAAACTGGGATCCGAGGTCCTCGGCACCATCACCTGGAAAGATGGTCCTATAGCACCCACCAAGCCCTGGCACAAACGCTGTCCCCAAGCCCCATGGGGCAGTCAGAGTCCCTCTCTCCAGGGGCTGTTGGGCCCAGGCCCCACCACTTACGCGTAACAGGGTCTTTTCCTTGCACTGGAACCAGATTCCTCCTGGGTTTCAAACTGGGATCCGAGGTCCTCGGCACCATCACCTGGAAAGATGGTCCTATAGCACCCACCAAGCCCTGGCACAAACGCTGTCCCCAAGCCCCATGGGGCAGTCAGAGTCCCTCTCTCCAGGGGCTGTTGGGGCAGGAGGTCACCACACACCCCCAGGGCACCCACTGTCTCCTAGCTCTGGGATGACAGCAGGTCATGAGCAGGGGAGAGCTGCCTCATGGGTCCTGGCCAGGGACAGAAGAGCTGTCTGTCTACTCAGCATCAGCATTAAATCTGCAGACGACTCTGGCAGCCGACTGCAATGAGCAGATTTTGCAGTCCTGAACCCAGAATAAGGACAAGAGACCCCTCGCCATCTCTGTGCAGAAACCATGGTCCAGCCCTGGAAGCCCCCCAAGCTGATAAGCTTGGTGAAGGCAGAGGAAAGCATCAGACCTCGGCCAAGCACGATGGAGCAGTGGGGCACGCTCATGTACCTCCAGCCCCGGAGCGCTGGGAGTCACCAGACCAGACATCCTGGGGAGCAGCTGATCCCGGGAGAACCGCTCGTTGCGGATGTTGTCCTGTGTCCCCAGGCCCCCCCTCTGGTACCTTGTCAGCTGCCGCACCAGATAGTCCTGCGGCAGAGGAGAAGCACAAACCAGCAGTTGGGTGGTCCCGGGAGGGCCAGGCTCACGCTGGCCCCTCAGGGATGCCACCTACGGCAGCAGCATCCACCCTGCCACCGTTTCAAGGGCATGGCTCGCTTGCTCGTCTTGAGCTTGAAGGGGCCCCGGTATCGCACAGCCCTCCCTTTAACCCTGCGTCCCCCCCGGGGACCCTGGATGTGCCGGCACCTCTGCCGGGGAAGGGATAAGGGCACCAGAGAGGGGGCTGCAAGCACCCCACATGCAGCGGGGCACTACCAGAGACCCTCCTCTGCTTGGCCCAGCTCTACCACATCCCTGCAGGGATGAGACTCATCCCCCTGCTCCTCCAGCCTGCCCAGGAGCTGCAGGCAAAGTGGGGAGCAGAGGGCACGGGGGACCTTGCCCCTGCCCCACAAACAGAGCCAGCCCCACCATCCCAGCAACTCACCACCACGCTGCAGGATTTCCCACTCAGGTCTCTCCCGTCCCCTGGAAGATGAAAACAGTGCTGTGACCCCTCGTCCCCCAGGCAGGTCCCTCCTCCCACCCAGCCCACACCCACGCAGAGGACCCAGTCAGGCCGAGCGCTCCAGGGGTCCCTCGCACCCAGTGCTCACCTGGGGAACGGCAGCAGCGGCACTTATAGAGGAACAAGGAGAGCATGAGCAGGACCACAGCTACCACCGTGACTATCACAATCAAGTTGTCTAAAGCAGATAAAACAGAGTGTGTGGGGAGCTGCTCCTGGTCTTCTCCTCCATCCATCCCTCAGCCCATCTCCCCTCCTCCAGCAGCCCCCCACTTACTAGAGGAGCTGGAGAAGGTGCCGGTGGGAGGACCGCACTGGCGGTCACTGTGCGGCGTGCAGGGAGCCTGCTCCACTTTGTCCTTGGGACACCTAGAAAGGGGGGAATTGGGCCAAGCTCAGCGGCTGAGGTCCCCAGCACAGATCCCAGAGGGACCTGCCGCGTCGCCCAGCTCACCGGGGCCGGCACTTCTGGCACATCTCACAGGGGTGGTCCGGGGAGCAGAAGGTGCCGTTCCTGCAGGCGCACTGCGTGTCGCTGATGGGTCGGCAGGGACTCAGCTCCACCTGATCTGCGGGTGAGAGGAGAGATGGCTCTACCCCAGCCCCTCGCACCACGCTCCTTCACCCACCTCCTTCATTAATACAGCTAATGACCCGAGCGCACCCGCAAGCCTGGGGAAGACCAGGTCACTCTCTGCTGTGGAGTTTCAGGCTTACCCTTTCCTGCCCCACACCTCACCATGCCCAAGAGAAAAAAGCAGTGCTCGCATCAAAGCTCCAGCAGCAGCCTACAACACTGCTGTGAAGCCAATCCTCCTGGTCCTTGCTGGATGGAGGTCTCGTGTCCAAGCTTTGCACAAGGGATGCTGCATTTGAATGGAGATGTAGGTCTGGCACAAGCCACTACGCCAATTCCAGACCCAGCTTGCTCCCCACACCCTGAGCCACAATTTGGGGATGCTGCAGGTGACCGTGCTCTTCGAGAGGTCTCTGGTCAGCTGAACCCAGCCCACGCTATCAGCCAGTATCGCCCTCTTACACACCAGCTCGTACCTTCCCTCCACGTCAAGGCACTTGGAGAAGTCATTTGGGTATTCGATGTATTCATCGTCTTTACAAGGCATACACTTGCTGGAGCCATTTTGCTCTTTACAGTGCTCTGCAACATAGGTGCCTGCAAGAAGGGGTGGAGGAGAAAGAAAGGGTGTAACTGGAAGATGCAGCACAGGACAGAGATGACTTTGTAGAAAGGGAGTCGATTCTGCCGTCAGCACAGTTTAGAGGCAAATTAGGAACCATCAAAAGGCAAACATTCACATAATGAGTCCTCAGATCTCCTTGCAAGGAGCAAGGACGCGCCGGCTCTGCAGGCAGAAACACGGCGAGGCTGCAGGTGGTGGGATGTTTGAGACCATCTTACCCGCAGGGCACTTCTTGCAATAGTGATTCCTGTCTTGGACTTGGTAAAACTCTTCCCCTCCCCTGCTTGGGTCCAAGGGATCCAACTTATCCCTCCTATCCAGCGCTGTTGCAGCAGTTACCAATGCAGTCTCCTGTTAAAAAATACAGGAAAACCTGGGTTAAAAGCCACCCCAAGTCCACAGGGCAAAGGAAGAAAGAGAAGGGTAAGAGCTGCTCTGCCCAGTGCGCTCAGGCAAAGTGGGAGAGGAGCTCTGGGATGGCTCAGAGCCACCTGGACCTGGTGGCCAAACCTCCCCTTGATCCAAGTGAAGGGCACTTTCCCCGTACCAGGGTGGTTATTTCCTTGAAAAGCATAAGGAAGAGGTTTGCAGAGGGATTCCTGTGTGCCAGGTTATCAGCAAGACAAAGGCTCGCTAATGCTTCCTTAGGATAACATCAGGCCCCCTTTCCTTCCCCAATTTCTGAGCACGTGAACCAACAGCACCGAAAAAAATGGAAGGGTAGGGAAGAGGAACAGGGAGGGCGTTTGTGGGGAGGAAACCAGCCCCGCGTCAAGGCTGGTACATGCCTCTTGTGCCCACAAGAAACACCCGGACCGCTCCATGCTCCCAGGGGACAGCATGGCCTCCAGTGTTTCCGCATTATCCCCGTTATCTTGCTGCGGATCGGGAAGCCAACGGCCGGTTTCCGCCAGCTCACCGCGCACCTTTCTGCTGGCTCAGCTCTTTCTGTCCAGGCTGGGTCACTCCAGCTGCAGGGGGACGATGCATGACAGGAACGGCCACTCGTCCCCTCAGGATTTGGGGGGCCTTTGGGCACTCCATGTCTCTGAGGGGGACAGTACCCTTGGCATCTCAACCAGCACAGCTGGTCCACGGATAGAAATGGATATAAACCTGCCCCCACCTCCAGCCTCTGCCTGGGATACAGGGAGCGATGATGCCCAGCCATGCTGCACAGCAGTGACAGTCTGGCAGAGGCACTTTCCCCTTTCCCTTCCATCCGCCTGGCATGAAACCTGCCTCTTAAAGCAAATATTTCTTCTGTGAGTCAGAAGCTGCCTCGAAAGGCTGAAACAATAGAGAGGCGAGCTGTCCCCTGAGCCAGCCAGGCCATCTACGGAGCCGATCCCCCCCTCCTCCCCGGACACTTCCCGCACTTGTACAAGGAAGGGTGTGAGCACCAAAACCGGCTGCAGCAGGTCCGATGGTCACGAGGCTGCAGAGGGTGACGCAGACCCAAACACAACACTGCTGAGACCGGCCAGGCCACGGGGAGGGCGATTCCCCCACCGCCACCACGGCGCAGACCCCCCGAGCCCCGGCCAGCCCGGGAACGGGACCATCTCCAGCCCCTGACTTGGAGGAATCAAATCCACATCCCTCCAATGGCTTCTGGCTCCACATCTCCCGCTGCTGCCTTCTCCAGCTGGGAGGGTTTGCAAGTTTATCAAGTGCTTTTCTACCCAAATTAGGAGAAAAGTCTTGCTTTTACCTCCCAGCCACATGCAGCTTTCAGGGCTTTACCCACTCCAGTCTCAAAAGTCTTCAGGGACTGAGACTGGGCAACCTGTCCCACCACCTCACTGTCCCCACACGGGAATAAAAACCAAGCCTTTCTTCCCCATTCAAACTCTGCCAGGCGTGAAGGTGATCACAGCAACAACACAGCATTATCTGCTGTTTGGAAAGGCCCCTTAGGCGCAGGATTTCATTGCTTTTCATGAAACAGCTACTCAGCAGAGCTTGCACAAGTGCACGATAAGGTTATCGGCCCACACCACCTTCCCCAGCAAGTGCAGTTCAAGTACATCGTCCCACCACAGAGCCCTCGGCAGGCGAGGGCTGCCATCCCTGACTAACCTATCAGTTTTGCAAAGCACGGGGAGAAACCACGCCGGGAGCCGTGGGCGAGACGCAATGGTATTCAAGATGTGTTTTCACCCACAGTAAACATCCCAGGAAAGCAACGTTGCCTCAAGACAGAGGAATTACCAGGCACAGGAATCCCCAATACCCTCACTAGCTAAAAGCCTCTTCCTTCTGGATGATCAGGTCTGGGAAAAAAAGCTCTGGGAAGCATTAAGCTTTGGACTTTCCCTTCTTCCTGAAGTGATCCCAAGGAAGGCGTTGGACCCTATGGCTGAAGGCAGAGCCCTCGCTGAACTCCTGACCATCAATGAACATCCGTGCAGCATTAATACGCAGCCCTCGATTGCAGCAAGCGAGGCTCTTGGCCAACAGCGAGATGCCAGGCAGACGCCCAATGCGCCTTTGCTCCCAGGGCGCAGGTCTCACGAACGCGGGGGTTTCCCCCCCAAGACTTGCCGCAGATGGAATTTGAGCTCCTGCAAACACTGAGGCCCAGTGGCATTCCTCCTCGGGAGCCCGTGGCCCAGGTCCAGGCATGACGCAACAAGCATTGGTGAGCAGGGGAAGGAACTGCAGCCACAATATCGTACGATTATCACGTGGGGCATCATTAGTCCTGATCGGTTCCCCCTCCCCTCTTCTTTTATTAAAAAAGAAAAAAAAAAAAGTAAAAGAAAGAGGCTGTTAAGAGCGTGCCCTTAGGTGATGGGTTTAGTAAGGCTTGACTTTATCAGGCAAGTCTAAATAAACTCTCATAAACAATATAGGGAAGGAACTGGATGAGAAGCCGACTCTTACAACCTGTTATGGGCAGCGCTGATTTCAGCGACAGCAACTCCAGCGTGGGAGCAGCAACCA